TTACGTTGATCTTGTTAATAACACGTATAAAAAATTATCTAAAAACATTCAAAAAATAATCAAAAATAAATAAATACAAATAAATACTTATTTTATTGAATCGTAAAAATGTATTACTTTTTAAAATTTAATTGGCTCATATTCAGTCAATTTTTAATTTAGAACACTAGTCGATACATCAAAATCAAAATAAAATATCTAACTAAATATGGTGTTCCGAATACGCATACCGAAATGATAAAATATTTTAAATGAGTCTATAGAAGTGTATTTTTCGTGTTTGATTTGTTTACAATTTTAGCAATTTTTTGAAAAGATTGTCCTTCTTCTTTTAGTCGAATAATTAATGCACGAACTTCAGCAGGTACTTCCATGGTTAACATATGTCATAGTAATTAAAGTGGTAAAAAAAATATTTGATGTACACAAATATGAAAGATCACAATAAATTAATTTATCAAACTTCATAATAACGATTACACTGATGGGAAAAAGGAATGTATGGAAACTTTTGGCGAAAATAATTTAATTATATGGGTATTCCGACTGAATTAATTTCTACACAAATATTTTTACCTAAATTCGCTTTAAAAATTGAATAATTGATTGTTAAAGAATGTTTTGGTTGATAAATAAAAATGCTGGTGTTTAATTTAATATTTATTGAAAACATTTTATAAATTAAAATGATAATGTATGAAAACTTTTTTGACCGAGTGTATATTATAGTAATACAATTCTTTGAAATTTATATTTTAAGCACAAAAAATATTAATAGCACGTAAAAAATATCAAATTTATGTATCACTTAAGACTTAGATGGTGGAATTTGAGCTTTATATTTTAACTTTATGTGTTTGTGTCACATATCAGTCTTATGTGACACATAAAATGACTATGCATACAGGCATTAGTGTTTTATCAGTATTTTTATTTTTGTATGACATTGGGTTTTATAAGTTAAAAACAGTAGCACGGAAACAATATTATTGTGCACCGCTACCATCCTCCATCAACTGACGTGTGCATTGCAATCTATCAATTTGTTTTCGTCGCAACGTATATTCATTGATTATAATTTTATGAAAATGTAATCAAAGAAATAATATACAACTTTTAAAAATATAAATGGATTATTTTTATTATTTTAAAAATGCATATACATTCTTTTTTTAGTGAATATATTATTAAATATTAGTGCATTATTGCATGTTTATCTATGAGTTTCGTAGTGCATGAACTTACGAGCCCTGTTTATCAATATAAAGGTTTCGGTTTTTACTATTTAAAAGATTTCCGTCCTAGAACCGGTTCTTTTCGGTTTCGTTCATGTCCTTGGTTTTAATTTTCATATTATTGAATAAACAATTGTCTTGGAAAAATAAATGAAACAAAATAAATTATTGAATTGATCACATTTATATTTTATATAAAGTACCTATATAATATTCCGCTACTATTTTAAATTTTTTTTATTTTATTTTTTTAAAAAACTCTACTTTTAGATGATTAATTTTCAAAAAGTTTACGTATTATTTTTTTTATGTAAAAACTCGAATAAAACGCATATAGATTTGTATAGAACTTTTTTCTTATTTTCATGATTTATTTTAATACGCCATAGGAAAAATCGATGAAAAGTTAATAATCTCTAATAATATAAACACGAAATTACTTTCTTTGAAACGGTTTATCTCAGAAACTACACCACCGATTAAATCGATTTTTTTTTTTTAATATCATAACTTTGAAAATATTAACTTGTCGTTTCTCGCATGTGAGATGACATTTATTTGAGAACCACTGGCCTTATATAGTAACTTTTGACACGTGCATCTTGATCATTATTGTTCTTTATATTAAATAAAAAAAGAATGACAAAATGTCTAAAATGAAATCCAATATTGGTCGCTAAATATGAGAGGCAAAAAAATCGCGATGTCATAGAGAAAATGAATTAATCAATGATTTACTATCAACTCCTTGGCGGTTCAAAAAACTGTCCTCATTTAAGTATGACGCTTCCATCAACTATACATACTCGTATAATTCCCATATTTCTTATGCCTACAAAGAAATATTTTAGTTTACTGTTTTCATAAATTATATCACCTTTGTTTCAGTCTATAAAATGTATAAAATAGGTATTATACTAAACTCCTAAGTCTTAAGATATTTTGTATTTATGTTATTTTCCTTTAATATAATTATTTACTATCCAATATATTAAAATTTAATTATTATCTAATATCTAATTTAGTTTAAATAACAATGTTGTATTTGGGCGATACAATTTTTTGAATACTGCCAATATACGTGTGAACTTTTCTTATTTTTGTTTTTTCTTTCAAATTTTATTAACAAATATCTTAAGAAATAATTCATTAAGTCAAAACTCGAATGAATGGAATAGATATTATTCAAATTTAAAAATATAAAAAGAGATATACACATACTTTACTTATTTTAGATATAAAATGGGAATAGGGACGGCAATGAGAACGAGATATTTCCTTATTATAAATGGACTACGGAACTTATAATTTGAGTATTACCTGGCTTGTATTCGTTCCCAGTATATGGCCGAGTGTGCATTTTTACAATTTTTCGCTCTAACTTGACAGTATAATATCTAAGGTTTCAGTATAAATATGTAGGGATAAATATAAAATATAAAGTAAATATAAATATAAATAATATAAAATATATTAAATCATTAACAATAAACTCTACGAAATTACCATAGAATTTCATAATTTTTACGTTTGTTTTTTTTTAACTTTTATAAATTTTAACTCGCTACATAGTTTTATTAAAATGGATTAAAGTTCACTTACACAATTTCTTAAAAACAAATATATAGTATTTTTTAAATGTTTATAGGTGAAAAAATAATAGAAGAAATTATTAAATATCTTGATCAAATATCATTGATCAATATTACCTTTAAACCAAAATTACTACTAGTCGGTACCACTTATTAAATGACTGAGTTTGCCAATTGTTTATTAAAATTATATTTTACTTATTGCATTGTATAATTCATATTTTTAAATTATTTGGGTACTAAAATACATGATCATTTTATAATTTTGAAGACTAGTAAGTGAGTAAATAGTGAATAAATAATATGTTTAAAATATTGATTTACTGATATACCTAGCAGTGATGAGAATGTTATCCATTAGAAAATATTTTTACTATTATATAAGTTTAGATTATTTGTATTAAACGTTTTTGTACTCAATCTGTATTTGTATAACAAGGAAATAAATGCCATAAAAAATTTCAATACTATAGATGAAAAAATATGTAAAATGTATTACGTTAATTCAATGACCTTGGCATTGGCATATGTAAAATTATAGGAAATAAAGCATTTTTCAAATCCAAGGAATAACGAGTTAAAAAGTTAACAAGCTAAATTACTTTTAACTAAGTTACATAATGAGTACATAACTTTTTGTCTTACTTCTTACTTAACGATTTAATTTATTTTTTAGTCCCGTTAAGTTTTTTTTCTTTATATAAAACCCATACATTTAAAATAACATTTTACGTAAGAAAAATAATATCAACAATTATTTTAAATATTAATTATTATTTACAATGGTAATATAATATGTAGATATTTTAAATAAAATTTTCTAAATTAATAATTGTAAACCATCGAACTATTTCTCACGATTCTTGGATTTCAATAAGTTTCAAAATAATGTTTGCAAATACAAATTACAAAATACGAATATATGATATATGTATACAAAACAACTTATAAATAAGTATATACTGTCTGATAATAAGTAATTATAAGTTATAAATAATAATTTATAATAATGTATAGTTATTAAAGATTGAACAGAAAAGGCCAAAGGGGTAATCATTATTGAGAAAAGAGAAACATAATAATATTATATATTATACCTATTCAGTATCCAACACACGCTTGTAAACGCATTACTCATTTTCAATTAAAATTTGTTGTTATACATATTATTATATTCGTTCGTAGAAATAAAATGTACAGCGATAACCGTTGATGGCGATACAAATAATTTAAGCGAGACCAATGTGTATCGTATAAAGTTATATTTTCATTTTTTTTCGTATTACCTATCCTTTAGACATTTCATACAACTATTTGAACAATTAGATACTCCTGGTCTGAAATAAAAGTGTTCTTTACATTTTCTAAGACTGCTTACACAGTAGTTTATTACATGTCTGCTTGTTTGAATCTTCAAGGTTGCGACTCAATAATAGGGTCAATAATAATAAATATAAAATATATCGATCGGCCTCGCGCGTCATCTTATGAAAACAGTACGAACACGAATACGATTTGAAAATACTATGGTTGTGCGTAAAAAACAAAAACAAAAAATCGTCGTTCTTAAAAAATCATCTCGTTGAAAACAATCAACGGTAGATAATCTCTAACCATTAATTATTTAATAAAAGTGACCTTGTACGGCCACAGAAAAACCTTATGTTCGATATCGGTCATGTCGTTAAATTTTTTTCAAACCGTTTACGCGCAAAGGATTCGAAAGATTCAATCAACGAGCATTAAAATCTTCCATTTTTTTTTTTTATGTAATATTAATTCCTCTCGTTTTTGTTTTTCCTACGGTAACGCATCTTTGCACTTTTCCTAATTCGATTTTACGTACGTATACGTTACGTTATTTCTGATTCGTGTGCTTGATTCGATTACGTTTAGGCTGTATTGTTCCATTAGATTCCGATCCTAACCGTTATACGGTATTATAATATACATGTATTTATATTACGTTATCGGTGAAAGATTATTATTTTTTATTTTTTTTTTTTCAAGCTGTGCGTCCGCGAAACAACTTCAATGACACAGCGCATCGTAGTACGCGACATGAAAAATAGGTATCGGCGGTACACCCGGTGCCTCGTGTACCCACTCCGCCGAGACGCACTGCGTCTACGTCCGCGGGCATGTTGGAGTGTATATAAACGGCGAAGGTGAAACCGTTCGAAGTTTCTCGCCCGGACCAGTCATCCGAGCACAATCAGCGGTACAGCAGCAGCAGCCGGTGAACATGGCCGATATAACGTACACCGGTGTGGACAACGAGGTATCGGACATTCTGAACAAATGTTTCGTCACGAGCTTCCGGAACGGGTACATCAAAGCCAACGGCGTCGTGATGCCTGTGTACTTCGAGAAGTTCGGACAACGCATCCAGGACATGGACGTCAGGGACGACGACATATGGGTGTGCAGCTATCCGAAAACGGGTAAGGCGTTTAACGGAAAAGAGATTAAAAAAATACGCTTACCGCCACTGAGCGTATCGATATTACGCACGCCACGTAGTTTTCAGTCGTGTGGCCCAAAACAATACTTAATGTTGTCCGCCAGTAGTCGATTCGCGTACCCGTGTCGTCCGCAAAAATGCCTTTACAAAAAAGCCGACGAAAAGTGCCGATTCAAATGCTCGATCGGATCACACGAACCAGCAAGTGCGATCGCGTGCAACACGTACGTGGTTGCGGACAAACATTGTAGAAACTGAATCGCCGATCAGAGTTTATTCTCGTAACCGCACGTCTTGCAGTCGACTACGAACATGGGAAAATTGCTAAACGATATTTTTTTATATTATCCGATTTGCTAAGAGCTCATTTCAAAATCAAATTATTAAATCCGATTTTTCGTATCATCGTTCGTTGACAATTTTTGTAAAACTTGATCTCAGGAATACAAAATTTTCTATTGATCGCAAACGTCTATTGAACTAAAATATTTGGGTTAGGCCGTACCATGTACCCGAGATAAAAGATTAGTTTTAAATTATATTAATCGTCAAACTTATTGTTCTATTGTACGTTTCACTATTTATAGAACAATGTTGATTTTTATTCAACGAAGAAAACTCTCTAAGGTGTTCGTTGTAGAAATTCTAACAATCTTAAATGTACAATAACGGTAAATAATCCCACCCATTCTAAATAGTTAATAAACTTAACTTTGAACCATGTGTTGTGAGAAATTCCAGATATTTTAAAACTAGTAATTTCTATAACAACCAACTATATAAGTGTCCACTAGTGCTCTGTATGGTCCGGTCTTAATCAGTCTGGTTCGGACTGGACCGGACTGTGGTCCGGTCTAGTACGGTCCTAACATACAAAAATCAAAAATCATCCGTTTGGTCCGGTTCAATAATTTTTAGAAGTAGTTCAGTCCAATCCTCAGATCAAATAAATTATTTTTAGTCCGGTCCGGTTTCAAAAAAAAAAAAAAATGAAAATCAGAACGGTCCGGTCCCAATCATGGTGCTTAAAATCTAAATACTTATATTGTTATATAAACAAATAAAACGAAAAAATCCTACAACTTTAGGTATATACTTACTTGTAAAGTCGGGTATTCCGGTCCATTGTAATACTAAACGCATCATATGGTACGGTCTGGGCTAATAACAGTCCATAAATGGTCCAAAATATTTTAAGATCGGACCGAAAGTCCAGTCCATAGTCTATTTTATTGCATTTTATTTAATTACTGGTCCGGTCCGGCCTAAAAATAATATGAAGCCGTTGGTTCGGTCCAATTTTGGTTTTTGATTAAAGTTTAAGTGTGGTCCGGTCCGACTTCGGTCCCTTGGTAAAATTTAAAATCTGGTCTGGTCCTTAAAATAACGGACCGTGCAGAACACTAGTGTTCACATTTTTACTCTTTTCAGTATTCAATTTTTTTACGAAGAATTTGAGTTGGACACCAATAAAATAAATGGAAACCTATGCGTGTCTTATAATTGAAAATATACTAGGTTAATTATACCTATTGCAACTATTATAACTATTGCAGAGTAAAAGCAAGAAAATTTTGATCTCGAATCATACCATGTACGTAATAATTAACCAATAACACTGAAGAATTTAGGTATTTAGTAATATTACACTTCAAAATTTTCAATACTTTCCCCGTCACTAAAATGTGAACCGAACGAATTAGGATAAACCCAATAATAATTTTATCTCCGGCTAATTAGTGTACAAAATTAAAAATGTTTCATGTAATAAAATGGTTATGATTTAATAACTTAATAATATTAATATTGATAACTTTTTATCGTTGACATACTTTTAATAAATACAACACGCGTGTGCGTGTGTGTGTGTGTATATGTGTATGTGGGTATAATTTATTTGTTACATATTGTTATAATATATGTTACGCTTAGATAAACAATGAGTATAGTTGCATAAATTATAATATATTGTGTTTAACTATCGAATTGGTGATCGTTTGTAATATGATGATTGATAAGCGTGACATAATGATCATAAATCAATGAGAAAAAAACAAAGAAAAAAAAAGTGTCGAAATAGTATACTTGTATGAAATTGGTATTTCTCAATGTCATGCAGCGACACAATTTGTGTTTTTCATAAATCCAAGCGAGTGGGTTGAATAAAAAAAAAAAAAAAATAAAAATATAATCTATTGTATTTTAGGAACCACGTGGTGTCAGGAGATGGTATGGTGCATTGCCAATGATTTGGACTTTGAAGGAGCCAAACAATTTCTGCCCGAAAGATTTCCATTCTTAGAGTAACTATAAAACCAATGTTTATCGAAGAACGATGAATGTCAATCAATGTTAATTTAATTACAGTCACACGCCTCTGTTTGACTATGAAAAAGTGTTGCCGGAAAAACCGGACCTTAAACTCCCGTTGTACGTGTCCGATTCAATAGAATACATCAGCACAATGAAATCGCCAAGATTTATCAAGACCCATCTACCTTTTAAGCTTTTGCCCAAACAACTTAGAGATGGATCAACTAAAGCCAAAGTAAGGTCTTAAACATGTTGAGTAATTCGATTGGAATAACGGTTCTAATAACTTACGAATGAGTTTTATTGATGTTAATACTGAAATATATTCGTCGTAATCATTTGCATTCCTTTTTTTTTTACTCAAAACCATTCATAATGAATCGAATCTGCGTATATAATGATTAAAATTAATTATATATTATTAAATTCAAGATATATTAAAAAGTAAATTGAAAACCACTACAAAACGAATATTTTACACCAAAAGTAAATTCTTATTAATTAATTGCTTTAACATAAACAAAGTGAATAAAATAATTAATTCATATATAATACTAATTATATTTTAGTAAAATGTTATAAAAGTTTTTGTGGTTTTATTAAAACACAGTACATTTATATTTTATAATATTTAATGAATATATTTTTTTTTTTATTTTTATATATATTAAGAAAGACATACCCTCGATATCGGGGCCATTGGGACATATATATTAAAACAATTTATAAATTAAGTAGTAAAAATATGATAATCTAATAAATTCATGAATGTAATTGATTGATTATCTATTTCGTAATATTTTCCGGGCACAAAGTTCTCTCTCAACTTAAATTTATTTGCACACAAATATTTTAGTGTTTTGATATTATTTGAGTTAACCTTAAATGATACTATGTGATTAACTAAAACAAGCTTTCGTATCTGAAAAAATATTCATTTATAGCAATTTTTTTCCGGGAGGATCTTAAGACAAATATGTTTAAGAGACCTGTTTTCGTTTAACATTAATTTTTTAAAACAATTTGTTTTAAATATAAAATACTTTTATATTAGATGCTTTCAATGACCAGTGATTGGTTACGACATTGTCACTTTCAAATTATATCAATATCATAAAAATACTACGACAATGTTGAGTGAATTTTGATCTGTATTATCTTATCTTATCAGCTTTTATAATATCGTAAACTTTGATATTGATTGATTAATTTTTTATGTAGTTAAGATATTTAAAATTATTTGAGTTATGTGATCTAAAAAAAAAATTCTTTCAGATTGTGTACGTATCCAGAAATGCCAAAGACACATGTCTTTCATACTTCCATCACAGTCGCCTGTTAGAAGGCTATACGGGGAATTTCGATGATTTTTGTAAATTATTTACCTCCGATTCCCGTAAGTACATCCGAAAACTAATAGTTCAATCGAATAGTAACTAACGTTATTGTTGGATAAAGTCTGTTTTAGTCCATTTTTCGAACATATACTTGGTTACTGGGATCGGAAAGACGATTCGAAGTTGCTCTTCTTGAAATACGAAGATATGAAAAAGGTAACAATTTAAAGTGGTTACTGACATGTGTGGTAACGAATTGTTAAAAAATTTTAAATGTGTGTATCATGTAGGACTTACGTTCAGTGATTCGTCAAACGGCCAAGTTTTTGAACAAAGAATTGCTCGATGACCAAGTATTAGTTTTAGAGGATCATTTGAGCTTTGAAAGCATGAAAAACAACAGAGCTGTGAATTACGAACCAGTAATTGAGATCAATAAAACTCACAATTTAATCGATGCAGACGGGACTTTTATGAGGAGTGGTACAGTTGGGGGAGGCAAACAAAAAATGTCACCAGAGTTCGTAAAAATTTTTGACGATTGGGAAGAAAAATGTTTAGAAAAATGTTCGTTGAAGTTTTAAAATAAGATGAATGAAACAGAATAAATAAAAACATAGTTTTAGCTAAAAACAATAAATTATTACATAGTTAGTAGTTATTAACATATTGCTTGCGATTTATAATTAAATTATAATAAATTAAAATTGATAATTCATTCAATGTAAAACTCTCATTTTTAACTTCATAATTTTTACTTTACTTCGATTATTATGATTTATAATCGTAAAACCATTTGTTATTCGATATATTTTTATTGAATTAAAATGTTAAAATTCATTTTCTACACTACATGTCTCTGAATCCACGCGAAAACACAAATTATTGTGTTTCTCATAATATTAATAGTAACGTTTAGGTGAAAAATATTTATTTAAAATTATAGTTGATTAAAATTAATCATATTTTCTGATGTTATTCATCGGTATATTTTAGCATTATTATTTGTTACAGAGTCTACTAAAAATGGCATTTGTTCTTATGTAGGTCGTGTAAAGTTTGAGTAGTGTTATAAGATTCTAGCTTTGGTTATGTGTATTCTGGTTGATTTAAATTTTTATTAAAAATGTAACGTACGTGTATTTTTTCAAACAAAATGTTTACTAAAATACATGATGTTTATTCATTCATTCGTGGATTGAGTATTATACTCTACTACCCTAAGAATGCAAATGTTTAGTAAATATTTTAGCACAATGTTAATATGTGAATATGCTAGAATCAAGTCACATGTTTCAAAAATCACTTTTTTAGAACTTGTAACTTTTAATTAAAAAAAAAGTATTTAAACGACGAAAATCATATTTTTTATGAATGATTTTTGTTTCTCGACATAAATTATACAACAATGATATATTTTAGTTTTATTTAATGTTACAGTACCTTTCCTTGTCCTCTCCTTGTCGTTTTATGAAAAAAATGATTTTTAGAGCATATGACTTGATTCTAGCCTACTCATGTATTATATATTATATATATATAAAATAACGTGGAACACGTGACGACGATAAGGAACTTTATATGGAAAAAATCGCCGTCGATAATATCTACATAAAATAAGTTGGCTTTATTAATGCATTGCTGTACCGTCCAAATGAGCGACAAACATAATCGCTATTATACAGCTGTACTTATGATATACTATAGATTTGGTTTGCAACGATCTTCAAGGGATCTAAAGAATCAGATTATTATATCAGAAATTCGTTGTAGCCGGATGACAAAAAAATTGCCTATGTCGTATATAAAACCAACCAAATATATGGCTAGGAATCGTTTTGTCCGGAATATCATTATATACGGCATTGTAATAAGCCGATTCTACTTGTATCTACTTAGTACAGTTGCGGATGCGGGTACCGCGCGCCATCAGCCAACGAAGTATCCTAATACATCAACGAAAACTTGTTTTTCATGTGCATTTCCTGTGCGGTTTGTCTATACGTGACGGCCGTCGGGCGATTTTATATTCAAAAAATAAAACAAAATATGAAACAACTTAATTGAGTAATACTTCAATTGATTGGCATCAATACTTTTTTATAATATTATAAATAATAAATTAAACGAGTATTATTATTATTATATTTTTTCTCTGCTATTTTGTAATGTTTTTTAGGAGGTAGCACCGTCGCACATAGGTACGAGTCATCACTGATGTTTACCATTCAGGTCATCAAGTTTTATTACATAACATAAATAGTATTTTAAGTACTTTTTTCTAGATTTGCGTTTCTCGACCTCCAACACAACACAGGAGTGTAAGAAATCAAAAATATTAATATTTTTTTCCCCCTATAAATAACAACCAACCTAATATATTTATAAATATTGATAAATACTAAATAAAAATAAACATTATTTTAATAAATATATATATAAAACTGATCAGACAACTTGTATAAAAATTCTTTATTCACGACCCAGGGTATTTTTTTAACAATAATAACAAATAAGTATTAATAAAAAATGTATAAGTAAGGTAAAGCAATTTTACGCTTCGAACCCTAATGATAATATTTAAAAGCTCCTAACTATAACATCCCAGTTAATATATTATTTTAAAGTAATGTTTGATCTATATGTGATGAGGTATATATTTAATTCCGTTATAGTTAATCAGAACCACTATCTTAGACAACATAGTCTGAATTGAAAAAAAAACCAATGCCAATATTTATATTTTACAAATATTTAATATAAAGAATAAAACGTTTAATCATACTCTTCTTTTTCCCAAAAAAAACTGTAACCAATATAATGACTAATTTGTTTATCATTGGAATTATTTTATTTTATATTCATATATATGTTAGTGCATTTTTAAAGAGTTAGAGAAACAACTATTTCTTATATGTTTTAAGTAATAATCCTTTAGTAAAATAATTAACAATTTCTTAAATAAATATTTATAATAAAATTAAACTAAAATTAATGAAGATTAATATCGTAAATTTAATTAAATCGTAAATGAATATGTAAAGAAACAGTTTTTGTATGGAAATAAATAAATGAATGCATAGCCAGGAATATTATTATATATGTAATGTACGACCGGTTTCGAATTAAAAATTTATTATTAGGAAAGTAAAAAGTCAATAAAATCACGAATATATTTATTTATTTATTTATTTATTTATTTGTGTAAATATTTATAGTAGCAAAAGTTATACATTGAGTACAACTTTTTGTATTTGGTAACTGTTGTAATATAATGACTAATAAACGAGTAATCATGTGACAAAATGATTATTCTTCAACATGGAAAACGTATAATAGATTAATGTGGATTCATTATTGTAGTATTCTATTTTGTCAGTTTACCACAGGTTTATTTTTTCTTATTATAAAATATTATTAAAACGTATAAGTTAAAATCTTAATTATTTCTCCTCTATGTATAAGTGTAAATCGATTATTCTAATGTAACACATTAATAATATAAGTAAATTTTTACATTATTAAAATTAAATTCATAAAAATAATAATAAAAAATTGTTGAAATTTATATTTGTATATATATTGTATTTAATAATACAATTTTTTATGGTAGATAAGGTCGATAAAAACAAGGGGTTTTATATATGCAATTAAATTAACATGTATAATTCCAACTGCGAGTGTAAAATAAATGGACGTGAACGTTAGTTTATATGAGATTCTATAATTTATGTAAAAAAAAAAAACTATACTCGTATACAAAATTTAAAACCACCCTAATAATGTTAAAAAATTCATAAAGCTAATGCGTTATCAAAATAAAAACAATTCATTTTACGTAATATTATACTTCAATTAAAAAAAAAAAGTAATTTTTATGTTTTATTTCAAACATATATATTTTACTTCAAAATAAATAATTAAATAATAGTAATAATACGTTATAATTTGATAATTTCTAAAATATTCTAAAAAAAAATGTAATTAATTTAAACATGTTTTCGCAAGAATATTATTATATTGACAAAGAACTGTAGGCAACATGTATTTTTATTGGCAAATATTCGTTGAATATAACATAGGCGCCAAGCTACTGGTCCCTAGTGTTAATCCTTTGTTGTGTCAGTGCCATTGGTGTTATTGTTATTCGCAAAGATTTGGCATTGAAATCAATGAAAAACCATCGTAATCGACGGACGACTCGGAGCGAAGGTCAATGTATTAAATAAGCATATAACGTAAATATGTTTATTTTATACATGCATTTAACAATAAAATCCTTGAATGTCATAAAGTCGTTTAAAATATTTATAAAATATAAATTCTACTTCATCAAACATATCATCATCCACTGCCCAAACTTCAACGAAGCTAGAAAAGATTTCAACATCCCAGACAACCTGTACGAAGCAATTGGTCCATTTTCAAACTTTCATAGCGTAATTTTATACTTAAAAAAAATTGAATTGTACAACAACATATAATTATTTAATGTAAAAATTAACACCCGTAAGCTAATAACCTATGTAGTTGATACTTAACTAATAAAAAAAAAAAAAAAATATATATATATATATATAAATTGTATTATTTTTAATTAAAAAGAGCATTTACATTTTTTTCATAAGTCTTAAGTTGCTGAAATAATACTCTCTTCACTACATATGTTACATATTTTGTTAAAATCTTCAAGTAAATTATAGACTACTCAGAGAACTTTAATTGTTTTATGATAGTAATTCAATTTCGACTAAGTATTGTTTTAGTATTTATATTAAAAACTATATTTCAATACGAACCATTATAATCATTATAATTTTCACAATCATCGCTTGAGCACTATTTACTGTTGATAAGCGATTAGAATTGAATAAATATGTTATCGTACATTATAAACAGAATATTTTTACCGGCCAATTTTTTTTCTCATATGAACGACTCATGTATACATGATTATATAGTTTAAATTTTTAAATTGGACTGTTCGGCACTTACAAATCTATTTAAACTTGTCAGGGGTTCCAAGAGTACATTCTGCTGCACCTGTGCGCACGCCTATGGTTCTAATTTTTTTTTTTATATTGGTTAATGTTTATTTAATAAATCAAAATTCTCTTAAGTAAAAATGCAACTTTTTTGGATAATTATCTAAAAAAATAGAGTCATTTATAGGTAATAATATTTTCATCAATAACAATAACTATCAGTTTTATTAAAAATAAAATAACTAATTTGATACAACAAAAATTTATGATAACAATAAATATACTTACTACAATCCTTATATGTGGTTTTGAATAATGTGGTTGGATCCATTTATCGAAAAAACTTGAAAGTGTCGCGACTTATCAAACTTAAATTAAAATAATTATCCTTGTCATATAACGAAACAAAAATACATATTTTAATGAGTTAGGTTTACTCGTGTTATGAAAAGTTTTTCTAAAATCTCAATTACATATAGATATTATTGCTCGAATGACACACATAGTAATATAATGCGATTCTGTGGAAAAACCTTTATCCAGTAAAAGTCATAAAACGCGTTTTTGAATTTTATTTTTAAATAAACATTTTTATGTTTTATATGTTTTATCTGCTAAAATCACGTATTTAACTATGTTTCCGTATTAGTGAAATATTATGTAATATACATCCATACAATAAACTCGATCCATAATTGATTTATTAATAATTGTTTAATCATTATTTCAAAAACAATTGGACATTTTGAATATTAAGATGACAAAATAATGAGTTTTAAGAAATATAATGTTACGGAATCCAATTAAATCGTAGAACTATACATACTTAGTTTTAATTATACCGTAGAGACACTTATAAATTAAGATAATACTATGAACAATGAAACGTAATCATATTAGTTAGTTTGTATCAAAAACAAGGGTTGTCCCTTTTAAATTTTCTTCGGTGAACTTGTCGAATTTATCCGATAACTCTTGGGACATGTAATTTTTCCAGTCACCGACTTTTCCCTTTCTGATGAACGTTTCGTCGGGATTCGTATCATTTAAGGCGGGCTTCTCCATCATGGCCAAGATTGGTTCTAAGTTGAGAGCAGGATTCTTTTTCATGCTGCTGAAGCTCAAGTGGTCCTCGAGCGCAGACACCTGTTCCTCCGTTAATGTCTTGCCGAGGAAACGCGACACTTGTCCGATGGCCGTTCTCAGATCCTGAAACACGAAACGGAGCGATGCGATTAAACGAACAGCGAAATGCAGCGCTACAGTGGACGGTTGCCACGGTGAAACGTCCATTTACCTTTTTCATGTCCTCGTACTTCAGGAACAACACGTTCGGCTTGTCCCGCTGTTCCCAGAAGCCCAGGATGTGATCCCAAATGGGCCCGATGGGCGTTTTCCCTTGGATGAACAGGTCGCAAAAGTCGTCGAACGAACCTTGCAAGCCGTGCACCAGCTTGCAGTAGTGGTAATAAGACACGCACATGTCCTTTGGGTTGCGCGTCACGTAGACGATTTTCGGTTTCACCTCGTTCAGCTGCTCAGGCAACAACGGAACTGGCAAATGCGTTTTTATGAACCTGGGCGAAGCCATGTTTTCCACTTGTTCTACCGAGTTGCCGATCTGTTCTTTAAATTTACTCGTGTCGTTGCCCATGATGGCCGTCAACCTGAAACGTTTCGATAGTTGCAATCCGAGTACATACTAAAATCATTACTATAGGTGTACGTTATCGGTATACAGGTACTATGAAACGCTTATAAAATTTTTATTGTATGGGCCTTAGTCGGAGTTTTTTTACATCTTAGAATAATCATTTCGCTTTGTAACCCCGTTTTCAGTTCATGAAACAAAACTATCAATGAATACATTTTATTTGTTCGCGAGTTTTTAACATTATTACGCGAACTAGGATATTATGCTGTTTATACTGATAATTAAAATGTTTATACATAAATATTTAATTAAAACCTTTTTTTTTTCTAAGTATTTATTTTATTCAAATTCAATTTTATATTTATATGAAATATTTAATGAAAAGTAGCAGCCGTTGTACAGAATAATAAAATATTTAACCTAAATAAACACTTATAACAAAACTAGACCTATTGTTATTTTATAATCACTCAATTCAGATAAACTGAATACGTGTTCAACCCGGGTTTAATATTATTACGTACGTACATTTTTTAGGTAAATGCGTGTTTTTATAAGTATGTTTAAAATACACAACAGTATATTAGTGCGCATAATCTAATTTTATGATCATACTTTCGTCTATTATCTAATGACTTACTCCAATAATGGTGTCCTTTGTTGTCCAAGCATGCTCTTAGCTTTTACGAAATCCAAGTCATTGCAAATACACCAAACCATTTCTTGAGCCCAAGTACTTCCTGCGATATATTTTATGAAGCCATTAGTCATTGCGTTCAATGTCGAACATTGAACCGATGTTCTAAGATTTAACTTTCTTAATACTCGATTCCGGAAGTAAATTAACTGAAACTATTACCTGTTCTAGGATACGACACCAGCCATATATCATCAGGTCTGACCTCCATGTTTCTAATTCTCTCGCCTAAATCCTTGTACTTTGGCGGAAGTATACATTTACCAGGGTTCACTTCGATTAGACAATCTTTCACGCCGAACATATCGTCCAATCGTTTAATGAATTTGTCCTCCAGATTTTCGTACTTAATGTACATCTTTGTAAATTCGAATGATAAAATTAAAGTAAAAGAATATAATTATATTTAAAGTATAACTTTAAAAACAGAAACGACCAGCTTCACTGAGCGATCTAATTTAACTGAATTCGAAAAGTAATAATTTCTTTCTTTTAAACAATACTTTCTCCAAAACGTGTTTTTGGGGGAAGTGAAAGCAACAATTTACAGTCGTTTGCTTTCTCTTGCGTAATCACGAAGGTCAGTACAATATTATAACATATTTTTATTTTGATCCTTATGATTGTATACTACAGAGGTCATACATTAATATAGTCACAAACTTAATTATTTACAAATGTATTAAAACAATAATTGCACATGATATGGATTATGGAATTAATTAAATATAAGATCTTTGTAGTTCTGAAGTAGATAATAATTAGAAACACTACAGCACGTAGTGGTTCTGACCACGGTTAGTCGATCAGCTCTTTCGAAGTTCGCTTTCACTATCTCATAATACCTCCCATCACTGAAAAAGAAAATACAAAAATATCACGTTAACATGATGGTACACTCATAATAAAACCAACATGGTCTTGTTTTGATTGCGCAACACTCTGTTACCTCAACACTAAACATTTGAGTTTCAAGCATTTCACTCGAAAAATATCAATTGCTTTTTGACTTTTATCTGAAAATCTTAAATTATCCGGATCCCACTTTAGTTCAAGCCTTTCTAGTCTCGGGCAATTAGTAGCAATACCGTCCATTAGCTGATCCACAAGCACGTTACCAGATAATCTTTCTTGAGTGCCCATAACCATAATACTAAAACCAAACAAAAAAACATACGTTATACTAACATACGTTATACTGTATTATTTGATAAGATCATCAAACTATTTCAAATTGTTCGTATTTTTCGTGATTTGTAATTGTAAATTACCTTCTCTAGTAATGTTTGGAAAGAACGTCGTTCATGACGCAAGTTCACGTTCATATTTTGCGAACGACACGCGAACGTCACTCGCTTTTTTTCAAATAGAACGTTAACGACGATTATATTTTTAATGAATTTATAAATTTGAATAACTTCTGGAGTATTGAAATTTATTTACCATTTTAAAAATATACGCATAAATAAAAATTTTATTATATTAATTATTTTATTAATAATTATAATTTAACATATTTTATTTTAACTCCTATAATTTCAATGGGCTCATATACGCATAATAAATAACATAAATTATGATTTATACAAATTTTTGATTAATGTTTATGAATATAAATCACAAGTTTTAGAAAAATCTATTATAAGTAATACAAATATATAAGTAATAAAGTGTAGTGGCAAAATGGGATTAAAAAAAATAAATATTTTGAATTTAGTTTAATTATATTTTCTTTTTTTAATTTAATAAGCTATTTATAAAAAATAGGTATTTTGTTTTAATTTATTTTATGTTTTAATTTAATACTTAATAAGGATACATGTTAGTGGTTTTTATTTTATTTACACTCGAAAGTATTTAAAAAATGTATCTAATTGAAATATGAATAATTTATTTATCATTCAATGTACCTATTTGATTACTTGCTATTCACATCTAAATATTTAATCAATATTTTTTTCGATCCTCTAAGTTGGGCTCATTAAGAACTTCACTTGTATTTTTTTAAATTAACTCAACATTATAAAATTTATATAATTCTTATGTGTACTAGAAATATAATAAAAATGTAAATAAGTAATTATAAATATTGTTTAGTAGTTAAAACTGATATAATAATGATAAAATACCATTAAATATATAAAATAATTTATTAGAACTATTGAATATATAAATAATAAAATGAAATTGATAAAAATAAGATAAACAAGAGTTTTATAGTAAAAGTGCAAAAATTTTGTTACGACCGGTTTCGAATGAAATTCGTCATCAGATGTAAAGAAAACATTTTTATTAACATTATTTATATAATCCAAGGGTGAGCGACTGGCGGCCCGCGAGCTTTTTTTATCTGGCCCCTACTATATTTTAAAATTACATCATACAATTTTAAAGTTTTTCGTCTATACTCTGACTTATCGAAATAATAATTTTTATTTAGTATTAAACATAGTTAAATGTCTAAATGTCATATATATGTATAAGTATAGCTTTCAACCATAACTGTTCGTACCGAACTATTTAACTATATCAGTTTCTTCGTATCATTCGTATCGTGATATCGTATGTTGAATTTATTATTTCCGTGTATATAAATGCTAATTAAAATTCATATTTTAAATAACTTTTTTTTTCCTACGCTCTGGCCCGCTAGATTTTAATTTTCTAAAAATTGGCCCTCTAGTAACTTTAAATTGCCCATCTTTGATATAATCAATAGTTTTAATTAATTATTTTATATATTTAATAGTATTTTGATATTATTAAAATTACTTATGTTGCTTTTTCTAATACCTATATTCGAATTTTTTTTTTCCTATGGTAATTCACAATATCATTAAGTATTAGCTAACGTAAGTTCAAAAATTTAATTAATATGATTTTGTATATGAATCGTCAAGATTAATTTATAATTTAACATAGAAGTGGCTAGTTTGAATATCACATAATTATAAAATTAATAATTAAGTCTTTATAATTTTTGCTCATATCTCATATAACAGTAAATTTTCATAAAATTCGATCCCCTCCTTCATTTTTGTATCTAGTATGTTTTTAATTTTATCACTAAAAAAAATCAAACTATTTAGAAAATTTATATTTACAAATTTTTATTTTTCAAACTAAATTAAGTATGAGATATTAAAATATAATTTTGATACTTAATTTCTTCTAAAATTCAAAAGTCTAGTACTTATTTAATTATTATTTTTTATGTGAAAATTGGTAAATTATGTTTAAGTATAGGTTATAAACATAAAGTAAAATATACTTAATACATATTGCAAAGGCTCGATTTATACAGAATACAAGCGAGTGATTCATAAAAATATAATAAAAAAATTTAAATGAACGGTCAAATTAACGCGTTCGATTTTTCACAAAACTTGAACGTGAACGAGTTAAATTTTTAAGTGAAAACTGTTCTATAGTCTTAACCGATAAATGAGGACAGTGTGTACCTACCTATAGTAGTTTGAAATTAAAACTAAACGAAAATTATATAAAATAATTTTAAAACGTATAAAATCACCAAATTTGTAACAATAAAACAATAATTAACACTGCAATAGAACCTCGCGATAGGTAGAAAATCTAGGTAAGTCAAAATAAATGCCGCTTTTTTTTTCGTTCCCTTGTGAAAATCTCGATAACATTCTGCGTTCAAATTCTACTTTAAAACTCTAAGTCAAAATAAGTTAACAAATTATCTATTGTTATATTGCGGCACTAAACACTATTTTTATTATATTTTTTATCGCAACGTGATTCGGTGCGCGCACAAATCTCCAACAACCGTGAGCGGTTTCTACTGTTTACGTTTCAGGTTAGCTACTCGTTGCGGCCTTTCCCCGTAAATAGCGCTTAACGCTAGTATGGTGGGAGTGAACGATGTGAGCCGACCTCGCTAAGCCATAAGGGACATGTCTACGTTTACGTTAATATTTACATTATATTATTGAGGACCGGCAGGACCGTGTTCCACAGCTGGTCAGTAATGTGCGGCATGCCCGCCAAGGACAGCCCCTGCAGCTGATGACCATACCGAGACAAAAACTTATAGAGACATTCATCCGATAAATTGTCCGAGTAGTCCAAGTTGAGCGCGATCAGGTGTCTGACGTTGCCCTGCTCCATAAACGCGTTCAACACGGCGTCGTTGAACCCGTTCATCTGACCAGCACTGAGAAACTTCAAAGTCGGTATCCGGACCAGCATGTCGATCAAACATTCGGTAGACAGATCGTTGCCGGATATGTCTAGCTCTTGGACGGAAGACTTCTCCCATTCGACTTGCATCACGTACTCGCTGATGAGATCTGATAAAAAAAAAATAAAAAGGGTTACACGCGTTTTTTTTCTGTCCGCCTTGCGGTGGGCAACGGTTATTTACTCGTTTGGTTCATCAAAAGGCACCTGAGCCTTTTGCTCCTCTGAAATAATGTTTTCATCGTGGACCCCGTGACCTTGGAACAATAGTTGACAGCCAGGCACTCAAGCTGTATGCAGTTGGAGCTGAACGCGTCGATGTGACTGTCGTCGACGAAGTTGATCCCGTACAAGTTGATCACCCTCAAGTTCGGCGTGGCCGACTTGAGTTTGTGCACGTTGATAACCTCGTAGATCTCTTCCTCTTCCTCCTCGACCTTCTCGTAGGTACCTGAACAGAAAACGCGCGCAAAACGTTCACACGCACGGCGGAGAAGAGACGGCGTCGACGGTCGACCACTTGCCTATCAGATGCAGTATTTCCAGCCCGTTGATGAAATTGTAGATCTTCCGCATAAATCCTTCCATGAATATGACCTCGGACAAGCACACGCAAAGGTACCTGAGTTTGGTGGGGAACGCTTGGAGCTCACTGAAGTCATGCAGCTGCATGGCGGTGGAAAAGTCGAGCAGCATGTGAGTGAGATTCGGACACCGGTTGGCCAACTCATGGAGCACCGTGTGCGTGATGAGCTCGATGGGCAGCTCGATGTAGCGCAGAGAAGGGCCGAATCGCACACTAAACCATTACACACGCACAGGTTTAAACACTTCGGTAAGAATAAAACGCGGACTTACGAGTCGGCGTTGCAGACGGACGGATGATCAGTACCTGATAAGAGACAGCAGGAATTCCAAAGATGTAACGTGCAAACCTGATATCTCCGGTCTCAGCGATACGCTGGACCACAGCGATGTGTTGTACGCGATCGTGCGCCATTTCTTGCAAACCCTGGACATGCTGCATATCTGTTTGTGGCTCAGGTACGAAAATATTTTCAGCAAAACCTTGTCGGGCATTTTTTCGATCGTCTACAACAGATCAAAAACTCTACGTTGACGTTACCGGTGCACAGTGTTGTTTACTCGGCTTACACGTGTTGAACGACACGATAGCGAACGCAGCAGTTACGTTTTTTAATGAACGATTATCTGTAGGGATCTGTACCGACGTATTTACATGATCGTGTATCCACCCGGCCGTTCAGCTCTACCATATAATATGTACCTTACAACTTACAGGCTAAGCACGTTTATCGTGCACACGATTTATTATTCATTTATTGTTTGTTGGCCAAGAGATTATTGTATTAACATATCTTCGTCGAGTCCGGAATGTATAAAATAAAAATTTTGACAGCACAAATGTTGTACGATGATTTAAAAATAATAATGCACCGTAATTTTATTAGTGAAACGAAATAGCATTTATGCAATACCCAGTTCACCTTCAAAAGTTTTAAAATATTTTTAATAAAAAACAAATAACTCAACTTTGTTTATGCACATTATATTCGTGTACATCAAAACGTGACTTGGTGTGTTTATTTTTGTGAATCAATAATAATACATTACATTTTCAGATGGTATAACTCTTATTAATTTATTTTTATTTTTTGATTTATTACAAAAAAATAAATGACAAACTTTTAAAATTGTACCGAGGCTCTACTCCCGACTTCATTCGTTCCATCCCCAGCTCGCTTCGTTCGCCAACTCTTTCCCTCCCGTGTATAAAAGTTTGAACTGCCGTAACAATTTAGACACTGGCAATTTTTCATTTTCCAAGACCGACCGTGTATTTTAATATGATCTTATTTAATTTTGTACCGTGATATCCGTATGGAAAGATTTGTTTCATGGAAGAGAAAATATCAAAGACTTTTTTTTTATTTAATAGAAAGAAGCCGTTCTAGAAATATGTTTTATATTATTCTTAACGTTCTACAACAGTGTTTAAACAATGCAGTCGTACTTCCAGAAATGCATCGGACACTCTGACCACGAGTAAACACTTTACTATATCTTTTTATAATCTCAGTAACTTGGCATTTTCACCAATAGTTTGTTGGTTTAGTATTTTTTAACAATTTTATTACAATTAATATATAATATTTTGCCAAAACATTTGCAATACTTGAGCGGTTTTTTTTTTTGAACTACGAAATTCGTATGACGGTGTATGTAATCGTAATAAAATTAATTTAAATTTTTTTGATTATTATCTGTTGCTTTTGATATAATTTGACTAATTACTGACATTTCAATGCAACATCACATGTGTATTCATTAATACATTTGATTTAGTTTGAAAAATGTCTACGTGCATTATTTTATCGACATCAAATACTTGAAGAACGGCTTATAAGTAAAACAAACAGAATTCCACTCAGAATATTTTTCGAGTGCTGCGAAATTTATAATTATCTAATATGTATTTATATGTATATTCAAGTTTGATCGACACATAAATGTTATACAATTGAATCATTACTTTCCGAACAAAACGATTATTGTCTAAGTGCATAGTAAACAGTAAACCTGATCAATAATTAAAAATGTTTATTTACTATTTAAGACTATTGGGTAGGCGGTGTGAGTACGTCATTGGGGTGGATGCATTATTTTACTTTATATATTATCAGATATGTCTGTAACAGCTGACTACATTTGTAATATATATATATATATGTATATTGTATGAAATATTTTTCCAAACATATTTCTGTAAATAGCAACGCTATGAATATATGTACGTATTATGTATATATATATCAATGGGGGAAATGCGTCATTTGATATAATGAAAAATGAAAAAAAAAAATTTAATTTAAAATCAAATGTACTTCTGATACAAAATATGAATGGCTTAAGCCTCAATAAAAAATATGATAGGTACCATTTGTAAAATTAAAAACCTATAATTTTAGCGCGTAAAAGCGGTACGAGTTAAACTTTTTTTCAGGTGAGACGCACTTCATTCATCCTTACCCTAATATTTGTGAACACACCGTACCATATTATAATTTTACAACGAAGCGAGCAACTTTTATGGTATATTTTAAAAGATTCATCTACGCGTGTGCGTTATTGTGGACGGTTGGGGGAGTAGCTTGCGCAGAGGATGAAATACGTATGAATGCATAAAGAAATATAATATAATTTCTACATTCCCGCAGGCAACGGAAATAAGCGACTGCTTCTCTCCGCTCCGATTCTCTACACTCTGTACGCAACACAATAATAGCCTACTGACGCCGACCCTCGACTGCGTCTTGGCCGAAACCTTTTACGCGAATGACGGTCGATCGGAAACGTTAACGATGGACCGCGTGGCGTGTTCACGGTGGGGCTTGTCGCATCGTCCCTCGTCTTACCGTGCCGGCGTACGGGCTCTTGGCGGGTCCTCCGGTACCGTCGTCGATGTACACCTGAGAAGCCTCTAACGCTAACTGACCCCAAACCTGTGACACGGGCAGATATTATTAGTGAACGTTGCGCGTAGACCCAGTCGGTACAACACGGGTATACTGACGTCTGACGATATGTCCATGATCCTCGGGTCGTCCGGGAAACGCTGGCGAATTCGATATTTCTACGCGGATGCGACGGACAATACAAAAATGACACACGCGCGCGTTCGTGGGGCGAAAAAAACTTATTAAAACTACTTCAAAACGTACAAGTCTCCGCTGCGCAAGTCGGACGGCAACTCGAAACGGGAACGCGGTTCATAACGTGATGATGACGACGACGACGACGATGATAATAATAATATACCAGCGTAATATCGTAGCGGGAGACGGGTAAAGTTATTTTGAAGGCCTAACTCGCGACGGATTTCTGAGCGAAAAAACCGTATTTTATCCGCGGCGCGCACTATAAATACACCCGCAGCCGAGTGCCCGTGCCAATGGCGGAACCTATTAACGCGCGCCCACTGCAAACGTGCGCACGTAAAAACTTACGAGAGCAGAATGGGAAAAAAATAAAATAAAAAACGTCCATACCGTTTTCACACCGCGGACGGATCCTCGACTGTCCCTGGACAAAACGTTAGCCGTCGATACGTCCACCGATAACCACGAATCCATGTCGGCGAAGAATATGATTTTTAACGGTAATTATAACAACAACAACAACAATGGACACTAGTTTTACCCTTCACGCGAAGGGCTGTCCCGTTCGCGCGGCTCTATAATAACGTTACGCGGTTCGGACGTGCGTTCGCGTCCGTACAATCAATGTGCCTGTGCCGGAAACACTGATCGGACTTTCGGGTGCGGTGAGCCAGGAAGCAAATGTAATCGAACAATTGACTCCCATTGACTGCGACCACCGGGGGTGTCCGAAAATAGATTAACAGATGAATGCGTTACGAGCACCGGTAAAATACTATTAATATATCGGCACTCGCTGATCCACGCGGCGGATCAGGGCGGACGAGTCATCGATCTCGGTCCGCGTCGAATATCGGAATTAAAATAATTCATACTCCCGTTCAGTATCGCTGTGCTTGCGTCAAATTACGTGCCCGTCGCTTTCCGCGTGTCAACTGCGATCGCTACATTTTATCAACACAAACATTTGCTTTTAAAATACTATTCAAATTGTTCTAACGAACCCAAAGAAAATACTAATTCTGACTGCGTATAATTACTTTGATATCAAACGCTATCAAGTCTCAATCGTCCGTCCCGTCCAACTGTTTGCTTAACTTTTATAACTTTATTTGAAAACGCATTGAGTGCGCAGGTAAATACTTCAGTTTTGGTTCTAATACACCAACACCTATAACCTCACGGTGCGGGTATAATCGGTGTTCGTCAATTGCACCGATTTTTGGACACTACTTGTATGATATACATCAATTACACCGATAAAAAAAAAAAAAATATTAAAAAGATATACATCAATTGCGCTGGAGAATTTGTAACTACTTAACTGAAAAGACACATAGGTAAGTTATTTTCATGAAAGTTTATAAATTTGGTAAATAATCATTTCCTTACCACGTTCTCTTAAAACTATTTCCATTGTAAATTTAAACACGGGCCACGACGACTGTACGTACAACATGTGGAATTATACTGAACAATACAACGAATTTATTTTACAAACATATAGTATTTTTCCACATTTTGTTCTATATTCAAAAAATAAAATAATATTATGATCAATATAATGGCTATCAAATGTACCTACGAGCGCAACAACGTAAACCCATTTATTACCAACTGTACAGTACTGCTAATCTGTAACTTCTAAAATCAGTAGTGACAGTATTATACACGTCATGATATCTGTAGGAATTGGCGCAATTGGCATACATTATTTTACATTCGAATATCGATCGGCGCAGTTGATGTATACGTTTTTCCTATACCATAATTTTTCTTTCTTTAACTGCGATTTTCGGCGCAATTGATATATGGCCTGTATAATGTAGACCGCAAAATATTATTATTATACACTTTTAGAAAAATACCTATAAGTATAATATAGTGATGGCTTATGATCTAGCCGTTAGATTCTACCCAGTCAACACATCGTAGTGGAAATAATACTCGGATGTATACATTTACGAATGCCGTTTGCTAACCATTAATATTTATTATTTTCTATTTGTATCTTGAAAAAAACACATCTTACACCACAGATATCGTACAAACGTAAAATTAAAAATCGATTTTAGTAACCAAATTATTGCATTAATAAATATTAAGTATCAAGGAAAATAAAATTTATTATGGGACTTATTCAAACGCAGGGCACTGTACAGAGTTAAGTCAACATCACATTTTCTCTGAATTATTTGTTTTACATCAGCGGTTGTTAACCTGTGGTCCGCGGCCCTTTAGGGGTCCGCGATACTCATATCGAGGGTCCGCGGCAGCCCTAAAACATAACATATGTACATCAATACGTGACATGAGTGCATTATTACAATATTGTTGGATTAATATAATTATTATTTTTTTTATATATATATTTTATTATATGATAGATTTTATCATTATACGATGTTATAAAACTTGTGTATCAACCATCGTATTAAGCTAATAAAAATTAAATTTTAAGAATATTAAAAAAAGAAATTAAAACGAAAAAAATTAAATTTAAGTTAACTGAAAAATTAAATGAAATAAGAATAATTATATATATATATATATATGTATGTATGTTTTGTTATGTCTATTAATGTAATTTATTATATAAAATATTTATTATAATTTTGGTTTTAATAACATGAAATGTTTTGTGTAAAAAAAAGTATTAAACAAAAAATTAGTAAGGAGGTCTGCAATTTCTAAAAATCTTTCATCAGGGGTCCGTGAACTACAAAAGGTTAAGAACCGCTGTTTTACATTATTTTATTATTCAATAATAGTGATTATTGTTAATATGTATATAAACAAATACCAGACATTAGGCGATGGCCTAAATTCCAAGACTTATCATAAAAAATATTAAAAAAAAGAATTGTTGTTTCTATGTAAACGAATTGATTACATACATTTGTTGAATACGTACTTTTATGATTTATCAAAAACCTATCTGGACAGAGGAAATGCAATTTTCCATCCTTTTATTTAAAAAACAATTAAATAATGATGTTTTTATGTTATAAAGAAATAATAAAAAGTCAGTGATTATTAAATGATATAGTTTAGTCCCAATTTTTGATTCATTTTATGAATTGGATAATTTTTTAATTACATCATTATCAGCTACCCACTTTTTAACAAGATTTTTATCGTCTTTTTACAAGAAATAAAACATGGAATGATTAGATATTCCGTATTGAAATAAAAATAAATAAATTATGGTACTAAAACGAATAGTTTTATACGTTATGGCGAAATAATTGTTTTTAAGAAATCATATGGTTCTATGGTTTACTTTAATTAAATGACATCTGCAAATATATATGTCAGCTATAATAGTTTATGATAAATATGATTTGATTCCATCAATAATAACTGTTGAGAGTAAACGGTACAATTACTCATAAATTGAACGAGTTGTTATCTATATTAGAATATGATTAACAAAGATAAAATTTTAATATTTTAGCGAACATCCGAGCAACGTTAATTTATGACCGTTAGTATTGCTAATTATTTCCCTAGATGAATAACACCTGTTAAGTATAAAACTTAGTTAATAAATATTAATATAAATTATTTTTAATATATCATTGGGATAACAAGTGTAAGTCTATTATGGGTATGTTAAATTAAAAGAAAATATATGATACAATTAAGTAATGTTTAACAATAATATGAAAAATATTTTATTATTATTATTTGATATCAGGCCAACTCGTCGAACCAATTTATCATTCCACAAATAATCCGATGTATATTTAGTAGCATAACAGTTGGGACACCATTAGGGATGCAATAGAATCAATATATTTTAGTATTTTACATACACCCATCAAAGATTGTTGACTAGTATTTTACAAACACTGCTCAAAGATTACTTTCTAATTTATTGGTACATAAAGTACAAACATTTTAAAAATGTTATTTATTTCAATTAGGTAGGTGAAATTATAAAACCTTTTCAATATATATTTTTTTTCGTATTTGAACCGGAGCTGAGAGAGACCTATTTATCGCAATGCTACATACTCAGCATCAATATATTATTTTATATATGTCTTGTTTGACTTATTTTTATTAATATTTTTTATTTATTTTTTTTTTTTTTTTAGATATTTTCTATTTTCCTACGTACTAATCAATTAATTGATGTTTACAAAACAAAATTAAACAAATAAGAAATATCGGAAACAAAAAGTTAGAAAATCGATCTAAAGTAGTCTATCCGAAAAATTCAGATCAGTTTTCAAAATCCTTATCGTATTAATTTATAAATACATTAAAAATAGAAAATATCTAAATCCCTATGTTGTGCGTGTGATGACAGAAACAGAAAATCATGGCACTTTCATACACTATTTTATAACTGCGTTTGTTCGCAAATGGTCACGGTAGTTGTTTGAATTCAGATAAGTATTTGCAATTGACTTCCTTAAGGACATCAATAGCTGAACAATTTCTGATTGCGTCACTGTATAAACAGATAATAATGTACACGTACGACATGTGTCGCGTATGACCATCAGGATACGTGATAACGATGTACTTTTACTTTTTGTCATAACTGACTTAATGACGCGTGGAGACATTATAGAATTTATACGTTTCACGGGGTGATAAAATATGAGATGCAATTATTTTTGTTAAAGATGGAAGGCTATAGCCATTAAGGTACTGTTGGAGCTGACAAAAGTGTTCACAACGTACACCGCAACGATACACGAATGTGAAATGTATGACTGATAATTAATGGTGTAACGCTATACTTCGAAACAACTGCGCGATTACGCGACATTTAAAATACTTTCAATCAAACCGCTTTACCTTATCGGTTAGATTATTTATCTGATAC